ATGGGTGATAAAGTCAAAGCGTAGAACGCTAGAAAAATAAGAAAAAAGGCTGGAGAGGGCGTGGTAATAGTAAGAGCACGCTGAATTAATATGTCGCGCAGTCAGTGGAAATAGTTTTTCATTGAAATTCTTGACAAAAACCTAACTGGCCACTTGATGTCAGCGAAAAGACAGCGCGAAGAAGACGGAAGAAGAAGAAGCAGCGTCTGTCGTGGAACGTAAAGTCAGCGTAACTAACTGCTGCTAACCACCCAGTCACCTCTCATAAATACCGCCAACAAGATGATAGCTTAAAGGTCCTGCCAGCACACACTTGGCTTGCCAATCAACAGCAGCTGTAATAACAGCAACAACAAATAATATCTTAGCGAAAAATTCAATTAGTGAAAACGTTGACTTTTGCGGCCAAAAACGAGAGTAAAAGAAAGGAAAAAGACACGCGTTGTGAGGTGACAGCTGACGCGGCAAGCAGTTGATTGCCTTGTGAAACCTTAGTGAGTGAACGATATGCCTTTCCGCAGTGCAAAACCAATTGACACAAGGGTCTCTACTCAGCTTATGTGTGTGACGGACCTTATGCGGCGGGTAGACAGCTGGCGTCTTGCTTCGATGTCAGTTTTGCCAATCAAAAGAAATGATGGTACAATTTTTGTGGTGAAGTTGCTGTGGCACGTGGCATAAAGCATGTGAACCCTCAAAAAAGGTGGTACAAGCGCGATTGTTGCAATAACTTTTATTTATAATATTAAAAACAAGGGAAAATTCGCTGCACCAAAACTATAATACTCCTCACAGGTGCATGTCTTATGGCATAAAATGGTAAAAGAAGATTTTTATTTTGATTTAGAGCGCTCAGTTTCTATGGCAGCTATATGCTATAGTTGTCCGATCTGAATAATTTTGTCCGAATGTCAAACTTGCTGAAGCAATCTGGTCGAATAAAGAAGTTTTCCATATAAGTACTTGATTTTGACCGCTCCCTTTGTATGACAGCTATATACTATAGTGGTCCGATATGGGTAATTCCGACAAATGAGTTATCTCTTGAGGCGAAAAGGATGTGTACAAAATTTCAGGATGATATCTTTAAAACTGTGGGAAAGCTTATCAAAGTGTATATTTGGTTTCAACCATATAGATAGGTGTTACCCTTGTTGAACACATTTTTTAATCCGAGACTTTTTAAGTAACTTTTTGTGTTACTAGAGTTCATTTCGCAGGTCTACTCTTCTTAAGCAGGAACTTTCTATAAGCCTGTTTAGTTTTGAGCTTTTTGTTAATATTTTATACATTTTGTTAATTGTACGGAATAAGTTCTTTCAAAACATTGGCAACCCTGCTGATTTATTTTTAGTATGTAATAATTTTATAAACTTTTTTAAATTAAAATTTTCAGCAGCGTTTTAATTTGATACCCTTCCTAATTAAAGTTAATTAAAATTGTCAAACAGGTGGCAACTCTCGCCAGAAAAATTTTGCATATTAAACATTCATTCATTTATAGCAAAAATTAACTTATCTCATGAATTAATTTATTACTTTAAAAAAAATGAATAGAATAAATAATTCAAAGCGATGGCAACACTGCTCAGAAATTTTCAAAAATAAACATTTGATACCCATATCAAATAAATTGATACAAAAATTTACACAGGTGGCAACCCTGCCCCCTAATATTTTCGATTTTAATCCATGTTAGATCTAAAAATTTAGGCACTGACATATATATGTTGTAATTTTCACTTTAACTATCTAAATTCTTTATATTACGATATTTAAACAGGTGGCAACTTCCCAAATTAATGAAGTATTTATACATGAGCTATTTATATATATTTCGTTTTTTCTTTTAATTTTCAGTGCTTGTGTGCTTTGCATCAAGTATGAACTCGCACACCCATACACTATGTAGATATGTATGTATGTGTATAGGCACACAAGAGTGCTGCACTTGTATATGTATGTATGTGTTTAGGCACACATGAGTGCTGCTGTTTTCCACATCCTTCTTCCGTTTGTGCAATCGTCTGTCTAGAAAATTTGGTAATTAAGCCGAGCTATGTTATCAAGCAGGAACATGCACATGTTACATGCCCAACAACAACTGGCAATTATGGCAAAGGAAATATAGCTGGCAGCCAAGTCATTGGAAATGACTAGCGATGCGTAGATATAATGAACAGCAAAGCGGCCACAATAGTGTCAACAACAACAACGGCAACAACATGTAAGCTAATAGCATTAAACAAAAGGTCAAGAGCATTGATGCGTAGTACAGTTAGTTGCACACACTCGAAGTGCTTAATGTCTATACAATAGTGTGCCGCACACACACACAACTACATATTAACACATCCACACACAATACAACTACATATGTTTGTTGGTTTGTCTGTGCGTATAAAATTCACTATTTTTGCTACGAATTGCGAGCTGTTGAGCGCCTTTCGGACCTTACACTTCACTAATAAGGCTTTGATGTTGTTGTTGCCCCAAGTGGCGATGACGCTAGTTTTTGATACACGCTCCAGCTCAGCGCGCCTATGTATTCGGCCTTCTCGTTAATGCTGCTGTTGATGGCTTATAATTGTCGGCTATGAATGAGTTCAGTTCAGTTGAGTTGAGTGGCGTTAAAGTGTTGGTTTGGCGTTCACTTGTCTGTGATTGAAATTTAAAAGGCGCAAGGCATAGAGCAGCGAATGATTAGACGTAACCAGTTGTTGGGGTCTTTGGAAGTTGGCTGTCTGCTATTACAGTTTAAATTTTGTTGCTGTGCGATGGAATTGATCTTTGATTATTGCATACTATGTGTGCTATCTCGTAGTTTGTTAGTATTTTGGGTTGAAAAATTTTGTATACACGCAATATTTTTGGAATGTGTCGTGCGTATTTTGTTTTATTATTTAGTTTTAGTACTAGCTGGAAATGATTGTAGGAGCGAAATTCAAAGCCCCAAAATATTTTCTTTTGTATATTTATATATACATTTTATTAATCAATACGTTTTCATAAATTTTCTTTTTTGGCTAAAGTTGTCATATCATTTTTTATACAAAAGATTAGTTTAAATACGCCTTGAGCTCACATACCGACGAGGGATATGTGGATTTTTCTGTAAGTAGTGGAGTTTTCTGTAAGTAGCTCTCCGTAAATTTGAGCTTTCTACTACCGGACTACTGCAGTATTTTTTTAGGCTAAAGTAGTTGCTATTAAAGGGGGGGTAGACATACTGCTACGAAGTGCAGGCTCTTTCAGAGAGGTGAGAGCTCATTCCGTTAAGCTGTGAGCAATTTCTAATCTATTGTCCAGCCTTTGTTAGACTGGGGATGAAACATCTGAAATTTAAAGGGTCTTATGATCTATTGATATTGTATAGGAGCTTTTAGGTAACACAACAGACCGGCGTTCTGAGCTGTCCTAGTGAAATACTTGTTAAGTTTGCTCTCTTAACCTAACCTTAACACCTTGAAAGCAATATGGGAGATTAAAAAACGTTTACATTTATTTATTAATATAATAATATTTTTCAAGAGGGAATTTTTATTTTATTTAAACAGTGTTGCCATGTTAATTAGTTGTGATCGGAATTAAGTTGTTGTAAAATTTTAATAATTCAATTTTTAGTTTAAATAAAGTTAGAAAAGATTTATTTGGAAAAAAAATTGCCAAGAAATTTTTCTACTTACGCATTGTACTAATTTTATTAATTCATTATTAGTGAAATAAGGGTGAATATTTTGATTAGACAGTAATATTGTTCCGTATGAATTTGAATTTGAATTTGAATTTTAATTTTAATTTAAATTTTCATGTTAATTTTTATTGTAATTTTAATTTTAATTTTAATTTTTATTGTAATTTTAAAATTAATTTCAATTGTAATTTTAATTTGATTTTACTTTAATTTTAATTTTAATTTAATTTTAATTTTAATTTTAATTTTAATTTTAATTTTAATTTTAATTTTA